GCAGCTTGGCTTCCCTACCTTCTTTGTGGCACCACCAGCTTCCTCAAGCTGCTCTGCACTTTCTCATCAGGCCCTTGCCTTGGGGGATTTTCCCACCCAGGTGAAACTAATTTTTCCTTACAGAAACAAAACTGAGAAAGTTCTGAAAGGCTTTCTAGCTTTTTTCTTTTTCCCCCAAGAAAGAGAAAGACCAGCTTTTTCCCAAGACTTCTGTTCTCTAAACTTTTTGGCTTGCACTGCTGATGGAGCAGAGCATTTGTGCTTCCATCCACACCTGCTGCAGGGGAAATTTCTTTCCTCCACTGCTTGGACCTAGGAATCCCTTTTCTACCCGATAGCCTCAAAGAAGAGCTTTTCTCTGCCCATAAAGCTTAAAGAAGATAGATTTCCCCCCCACCCCCCCACCCCCGATTGCATTCATAGCCCCATAGTTAGGCTTATCTTATCCTACTTTACCCCAAGCTTTTTCTTCTCTGTATTCCTAACCCAATATTTCTATTTTCTTCCTTTCTTAAATTTTATAGATAGAAGAGAGAGAGACAGAGAGTGAGCACGTGCTTATAGAGAGAGAGCTAATACTGCAGCCTTGCGATGATTTCACAGCTGAGAATAAAATACCGTTGCCTTCATTTTTCAGTTGCTTATTGGCATGCCTACACTCGCAACGCCCCCTCAATCCTTTCACCAAGTTCTAGGGTTTTTTTATTTTTTATTTTTTTCTTTGTCTCTGTTCAGGTGCCATCTGTGGGGGACTAGCCCCCACACTTATTTACCCCAGGAACTCTTGAGGAATGAGGGATAAGAGACTTAGTTAGAAATAGAGGGGAGAGAAAAGAGAGAGAAACACAGGATAGACTCGAGTGGGCCTGGATCCTTATCCACTGGCCCAGGTCTGTTTATAACAATGCCAAATGGTGGAGCAAAAGACATCCCCCCCTTGCTAGTTACAGTCAAGTGTAGACCCTTACAAACACCTGATACTCAGGTTCGTGGTCCCATCAGCTTCCTATGCAGTCCTGCTGGGTACAGCCACTAGGAAATCTAGTGGGCTACAACACTTCAGTGCACTGCTTCAAGCTCAAATGCATCTTAAATGATGATACAAAATGAGCTGACTGTATCAGAAGATGTAGAATACCTGGTTCCTTGTTTAAGAGCTGTGACAGTCTAATCCTTTCTGTGAAACTGTCTTCACTGGGAAGTAATCTAGTGTGTTGTTATTCTTACATTATACAGATACTTTCTTATTTGGGGGTGTATTAATTATTTCTTTTGGGGGTGGGGTCTGGTTATATAGCACGAGCTGGCCTCTAATTTACTATTCTTCTCTCCTACCTTGGCCTCCAGAGTATAAGCACTATCAGAGTATGTCACCACACCAGGCTGACATTATACTGGTGTTATTTCCTAACAACCACTTAACCTCTTGATAAAAACAAGTTAATAATCCTTGCCTAAATCAATATTTTCATTAGGGATTGGAAAATAACAGTTTCCAAATTGTCTCATTGTCTATATGTAAGGTGGCATTGTTCTGTAAACCCAGAGTTTAACTTGAGCTGCCCTACTGGCCTGTAACATTTCCTCTTGGAAAGGTAGCAAAATGATGGGTCTGTTGAAAACATCAGCTTCAAATGATAACAAATGATGCTTTTTAGTCCTTTTATTTGCTAAATAGCTTTTTGGACCTATGAGATTTTTCCCCCTAATTGTGGAGTTGCAATTCTCTGTAATAGTTACTCCTTTTGGCATTTAAATTTTCCTGCCTTTAACCAGGGGTGAGCAGCCTTTTAGTACATGAATCTGGAGCACATGAAAATTCTTGACCAGAGAGATAAAACTGTATTAATAGTATTTCATGTAATCACAGGAGCAAAAAGCCCGGCCTCAAAATAGAAGCCTTGGTTAGAGCTTTGAATAACTTCCAACTTTATTAGAAAAATCTTTCACTTAGATTTCTAAGTTCTTTCCCATTTTGAAATTTTTTTTAATATTTTTATTTTATAATTAATTTAATTTTACATATCAGCCACAGATTCCCCTGTCCTCCCTCCTCCCACCCCCAAAAATCCACCCCTCCATTCCCACCTCCTCCAAGGCAAGGTCTCCCCTGGGAGTCAGCCAAGCCTGGTAGATTCAGTTGAGGCAGGTCCAGTCCCCTCCTCCCTGCACCAAGGCTAAGCAGAGTGTCACAACATAGGCCCTAGGTTCCAAAAAGCCAGCTCATGCACCAAGGACAGGTCCCGGTCCCACTACCTGGGGGCCTCCTAAACAGTTCAAGTTAATCAACTGTCTCAC